GCTGCTTGCTTCCAGGAATGAATTCAGAAGTATTGCTTCCCTTTCAATTTCACTGAAGAGTTTAAACAGTAGTGGCAGTAGTTCCTCTCTAAATTTCTTGGAGAATTCAGTGATGAATCCATCAGGACCCAGGCTTTTCTTATTTGGTAAGTTTTTAATTACATTTTCAATTTCATTGATTGATATTGGGTTGTTTAGAATTTTTAGGTCTTCTTCGTTCAGCTTTGATAATTCATACATATCTAGGAATCTGTCCATTTCTTCTGTGTTTTCTATCTTATTGGCACATAGGTTCTCGAAGTAGGTATAGATGATCCTCTGGATTTCTACTGGGTCCATTGTAACTTCACCCTTTTCATTCCTAATTGCATGCATTTGGGCCTTTTCTTTCCTTTTTCCGATAAGGTTGGCTAAGGGTTTGTCAATTTTGTTTATTCTTTCGAAGAACCATCTCTTGGCTAAATTAATTTTTTGTATCGTTCTCTTCATCTCCATTGCATTGATTTCTGCTCTGAGCTTTATAATTTCCTCCCTTGTATGAGCTTTAGGTTTGTCCTACTCTTCTTTTTCTAGAAGCTTGGGGTTCAGCATCAGGTTGTTTAACTGGCCTTACTCTGTTTTCCTAATATAAGTATTCACTGCTATGAATTTCCCTCATAAGACTGCTTTCATTGTGTCCCATAGATTCTAATATGTTGTACTGTCATTGTCATTTATATGTCTTTGTTTTCCCCTTAAATTCTTTTATTGGTACATTTTAGGTATACAATACATTTATATTTCTCATTGGGAACTTGTACCTTTACATGATGTATCTTGGTTCTTATTTTTTCCCCATTCCCAGCCTTCCCTTTGTCATTGTCATTTAATTGAAGGAACAGTCTGATTTCTTCTTTAATTTCCTCTATGACCCATTGGTTATTCAGAAGTGTGTTGTTCAATTTTCATGTGTTTATGAAATTTTTGCAGTTTCTTTTGCTATAGATCTCCAATTTCATCACACTATGGTGTGATAATATACAAGGAATAACTTCAATTCCTTTGCTCTTACCTAAATATGTTCTATGAGCAAGTATGTGGTCTGTTTTGGAAAACA